CAGGACTGGAAGAGATTATGCTGAGTGAAATAAGTCAAGCAGAAAGAGTCAATCATCATATGGTTTCACTTATTTGTGGAGCATAATAAATAACATGGAGGACAAGGGGAGTTAGAGAGGAGAAGGCAGTTGGGGGAAATTGGAAGGGGAGGTGAACCATGAGAGACTATGGACTCTGAAAAACAATCTGAGGGGTTTGAAGGGGCAGGGGGTGGGAGGTAGGGGGAACCAGGTGGTGGGTATTAGAGAGGGAACAGATTGCAAGGAGCACTGGGTGTGGTGCAAAAACAAGGAATACTGTTATGCTGAAAATAAAAAAAAAATTTAAAAAAAATTTTAAGAAAATTAAAAAAATAAAAAGAGACGCAAATGAAGAAACAGACTCCTAACGATTGAAAACAAACATGGTTGGCGGTGGGTGTTGGTGAGAGGATGCATTAAATAGGTGATAGGGATTAAGGAGGGCACTTGTGATGAGCACTGAGTGTTGTATGTAAGTGTTCAGTCACCAAATTCTACTCCCGAAACTAATATTACACTCTGTTGACTAATTGCAATTTAAATAAAAATTTGGTGAAAAAAAAATAACATGTAGAAGCATTAAAAAAAGAAGATATTTTTAAAACCATGCCATTAATACTAACAACAGAGTAACAAATAATCTCAGAGTATATCTACTGAGGATGTATAAGAACTTTCTCAAAGAAAGTTATGGAACTTTATTGAGGCACATAAAAAAACACCTAAATAGTAGAGACAACCATATCCATGAACGACAAGTCTCAATAAAGATGGCATTTCCCCTAAAAATTCTCAAACTCAATGTTTGTAATTTTAATTACAACAATGTTTGTAAATGTAATTACAGCCAAAAGCCTGACAAGGTTTCCATGGAACTTTAAAAGTTTACCTTAAAATAATACGAGAATCTATCTAAAAAGGCAAAAGTAGCCAATGCTGCTGGAAGAAACAAAATGAAGATGAGGTACTGTTAGTAGTTAGTTGAACAATCAGGTAGTCAGAGCCAGGGTCCCCAACAAGAAAATACAGAGTTAGGACAGCTAAGATAAAACCGCACTGACATCCTGTTTGGCAGCTTAGACAGGAGGGCACTGACATCCTGTTTTGCAACTTTTGCAGAAGTGACTTCTACAAAACATCCCAACACAGGGCAAGTAACCACAGAGCATTTGTCAGTATCACAACTGCTGAAAAGTAGCTCCCAGATCTCAGCCCAAAAGACCATCAACACATGAAAATAATCGGATAGGCAGATGAGTCCAAGTTCAAGACCTGACTGGCACACCTTAGCAGCCAATCCAGAGCGGGCTCACACTCAGGATGCTCAAGATAGTCACGCAAAAGAGCTTATAAAAACCCCTAGATTTTAAAGCCCAAATGGCAAATCTCTCAAACCCCCTCTTTCTCCAGGAGTTTTTTATGTTCACTCAATAAACTTTGCTCTGCTACCCACCACTCTTAGTTCCTCGAAGCAGCGTGACCAAGAACTCCGGGCATTAAGGGAATAAAAGTCATGTAATATTTGCTGGGGTCTCTCCTGCAATCTCCACCATCACCAAGGACATCTAACCGTGAGTAGTGGGCAGCAAGTCTCTCTCTATCTCTCTCTTTTTGTTTGTCAGTACAATGGGCACCTGTCAGTCTAAGAGCAATTAGTATGACTGCCATTCTCAAGACTCGGGTGACAAATTCTCTGGACTCCTTTCAGACTGATCCCCCAACATAAGCTGGGAATGTTGGTTTGGTGAGGACTCAGTATTCCTTTGGGAGGAGATCACCAGATATGGGGAACCCAGGGAAAACCAAACAGTAACTGAGGGGTCCTAGCCGAGGCTACTCTTTGGTGGATACACAAAGGCTCTCAAAAGGACCGAGTTCCTTACTTGCCCATCCAGACATCTGGGAAGACACCCTCCTATTACCCTCTTCTTGACTGACTCCTCCCTGGGAAGACAAGTGGAAAAAGCCTGGGATGGTCCCCTAGACATCCTCCTGCAAATGGTTTGGGCAGACTTCAAGGGATCATGCTCACAGTTCCCTGTTATGATGAGGAAGAGCCTCCTGTTTCTGGCCCTTCCTACCTCGGGTATGATTCCTAAGATTCCACCCCCCCTTCCCGTCTCTCAGACCCATGAAAGGAACCTTCATATTGACCAGAAGGCTGGCCACTGAGACCTCCTAAGAGACCTGGCTCATGCTGCGTTTGACGAGGCCCCCCTTTTAATTCCCCTACTAGGGAAACCCTGGCATTGTCTCCTCTGTGCAAATGCAGAAGCCCAGCATAAATGTTGTTTTTGTGTAAATGATAGATATGTTCCTCCCCCTTCAGGCTTCTGTGTCTGTACCATAAAAGGAGAGCTTCTATGTGCAGCAGGAGCCTCTTACTCCATCTTGCAAACTGTACTCCCCCTGCATGTTTTAAAATGGACACCCCAGTGGTTAGGCCATCTATATGGGGGACTAGCAGAACAAGGCAAGGGAACAAATGTCTACCTTGGTGACTTCCCACCTCCCATGTGGCCTACTTTATCCCTCCAGAAACTAGCTTCTGTTACCCTTTTATTGTGGCTATGTCAGAAGGAACAATTCTACCATCCCTATCATGCTGATGTAGTTTTTGAATGCTGGTGAGGTCCAGAGCCAATGGCCAAGAAAGAATTCTTGAGATCTTTCCGAGGCAAAATGGTGGTTTTACTAAAGCTTGGGGACAGGACCCATGGGCAGAAATAGGTGCTGCCCCAGGGTTGTGAGGAGCAACTGATTATACATTTTGGGGTTAGTAGAAGGAAAAGGGAGGGAGGTTCCAAAAGGAATTTTACATGCTAAAGAAGACTCACAGGATACAGGAGGCCTTGCTCTTGTCAAACTAAGGTTGTTTTTCCCCCTAGGAAGACATTAACATTAAGACAGGAGCTTCCTGGAGGAATATACTCTGTCTGCCTCAAATATTTGTCAATGGGTTGAAGGTTATAAAAACATTTAATTTTATCTACATTTCCCTCTGCCCTTGTTTCCCACATCAATGCCAACTTTCAGTGGGCCAAAAAAAAGTCTAACACATCTATTAACTACTAAGGCAGTCTTACTAGGTCACAGTCAGTACCCCTTGAGTCTCATAGGTAGGAAATGAGGTCAGGGAAACCAGGGTCACTCTCTGGAGGTAGGACCAAGCCTGGGTACACATAACTAGTCCCAGCACCTCGCAGTGATGACAGGAGCTCTGGCTGTCAGTTGTGTGAGTAGATATGACCACACATCAGGAAAGGATAAAGAGGAACTGAAGTGGGGATGCTTGTCCTCTCTTCCCAAAAGTCTTCCTGATCAACTATAAGAAATCAAGGTAAGGGATACTTTTCTTCTCTTTTTATAGATGGGCAATTTCCAACCAAAACCCGTACTCCACATTAACTGACTCCAAATATGCCTTCCTGGTTTATACTGGGGAAAAGGCAGTTCATTTTCTTTTGTTCTGAGGCATGGCTACAGTACAAGTTGGAGGATAAGAAATGAGCGCCTGGGGAAACTATCAATTATAATACTATTTTACAATTAGACTTGTTTTCAAACGTGAGGGTAAATGGGGGTGAAGTACCTTATGTACAGTATTTCTGGGCCTTATGGAAAACAAAGGCCTGTGCCAACAGTGTAAGATCAATCCCAGCCTTCAGGCTGCTCTCTCTCATGACCTACCCACCACTGGGGGCAAAGGAATACCACACCAAAAGCAGATAGGCAAACGGAGTCTGTAGAAAATTCTTCACCCCCATTTTCTCCTTCCCCAGGGCCTCAGCCTCCTTGTCTGGGTCTTAGACCGGTTTACACTACCTATCTGTCCTACCCTGAAACCTTACTGGTGCTTGGGAGCTTCTCACTCATTGATATCCTGGGTTAATGGCTATAAACCAAGCTAACTATCTCTGGTTAGTCTACCTCAGGAGAGGGACTTTACAGAATATTCCCAAGCAGCTGCCAAAACTCCCTTTGTTTCAGAGAAATTCCATCTTCTCTGGCCCAACATGGATTGCCTAATTCCACTTTGGTGGAAAACAAATGAACAAAAAACCATGGTGTCTGTTCATCTGTCCAAGCTGACAAGGTTTAGAACTCAGAAACTTCTTTCTCTGCCTTCTGGCAGCACTTTGCCTCTTTTATCTCCCCTTCCTCCTCCTCTTTCTACACCACCTTGGGTGTATACACCACTCTTCATCTGGTCAACCTCTTCATTCTTCAAAGCTGTGTAACAAAGAACCAGGCACTATAGGAATAAAAATCCTGTAATAGTACTTGCCTGACCAGATATCAAAGTCTTTTAAAAATCCACATTATTTATAGTAATCTCTAATAACAACAGAGGATAAGCAAATATAGCAAAGGCAGAGAATAAGAGCTTAGAAAATAAAAACTTGCATGTATACGAGCTTTGTGTATTACAGAGAAATTATTACAAATCAGAAGAGGAACATGCTTACTAGATTAAAGAGGCTAGGAAAATCAGTTATCTATATGGAAAATATTTAACTTAGGTCCCTACTCAAACTGATGAATTTTTTAAATATTTATTTGTGAGAGGGAGAAAGAGAGAGCACACAAGCAAGGGGAGTGGCAGGCAGAGGGAGAAGCAGGCTCCCCACTGAGCAAGGAGCGCAATGTAGGACTGGATCCCAGGACCCTGGGATCATAACCTGAGCCAAAGGCAGATGCTTAACCAACTGAGCCACTCAGGCATCCCTCATATCAATGAAATTAATGACTTCTTAGGACAAGGCAATTTTACTCCTACATGTACCTCTTTTAGAAAAATTTCAAACATCTTCAAATAAAAACATGCACAATAATTGCCCAGTCATGGTAATAGCAAAAGAGAATTAGAAACTACCAATCAATTCTCAATGGGAAACTGAAAAAATACGTTATGGTACATTCATACAATGAAATCCATACACTGCATTTTCATACAGCAAAGACGAACAAATTAGATCTGTGTATTTGAACACAGATAAATCCCTTCCTTCCCTTCATTAGAAGATTTCCTTTTATCTTCCAGGTCTCAATCCATCTTCCAGGAAATCTTCCCTGAAATCTCATATCAGAGTTAGGCCCGCCTCCCAGGTTTCCACAAAAAAAAGAGATGCTATATTGTTCCTTTCACAGCACCCACAGTTTTGTGTTTTAATTGCTGGTTTAATGTCTTTCTCCCCAACTTATCTGTGACCTCTGTGAAGGCTGAGATGGTTACCAACTGCCTCATGGGTGTAGCACCAGTCCTATTATGCCCAGCACATGAGAGAGGTTCCATGATGTTCCATAAATATTTGCTGAGTTAATGAGTAAAAGTAGCAGAGAAGGAAGCTTAGAGATACATACATGAAATGAACATCATCCAGAAGATTCACTGTAGTGAGGCAGAAACTTTGGGAAGATGAGGAGTGAAAAGGGGGCAAAAGGATGGAGAAAGCAGTAAATGAAGACAGAAGAAAGTCAGAATGACTTTTGTGTGACAAAAGCCAAGAACTTATGACAAGAGAAGCCAACAAATGCAAATAAAACTGTATATCCTTTCTCATCCCTCATATACATACACAAAGCCCAAACATAGATGCACATCCCTAAGAAGGTTGAATTAGTGTGGAATTCATATTCATCACTAAATAACAGAATTAGGGACACTTATGGAAGTTATTCAAAATTCTGAGTTTTCTAAATTAAATTAAATTACATGTCAAATTGAAAACTCATGTATTTATAAGCAATATTATTTAGAAAATTTAGAAACAATAAAGAAGAAGAAATAAGGAACAAGTATGAAACAATGTAAAGATAAAATGGTCTTTGAGGTAGAGGGACAACCTCAGAAACTCATAGGTTTGTTGGATGGATGGTTGGCTTAATATAATACACACGCATTAACTCACCACCCAACCTGAAAACTAGACCATTGACAATGACTTCATTTACTTTTATCCTTCTTCCTTATCATTTCCCCTGCCTCCCAACACCTGAGGTAACCACTACCCTGAATCTTGTGTTTTTCTACCTTACTTTTTAAAAATACAGTTGGAGCACATACATTTATTTCTAAAACACATATTGTTTAGTTTTAACATTCTAGAAAGGATCTTAAATGCTCTATAACCTTGGATTTATATTTTTCACTTAGGACATTATTGCTAAGATTCACCCACATTGTCATATTGAGTAAGGAACAGGCGGGGATAGTTAGACGGGGCAGGGGGGGGACGGCTATGTGATCAGGCCCACAGAAATCCCCCAAATGCTGAGGTGTAAAGAAACCAGAGATAGAGGAACACAGCAGATCACTCTGCCCTAGGTGTGTGGGGCAGGGCGAGAGGGTGCGGGGTGGGGGGGTGGTGTCTTTTTTTAATGACAGTCACCTGTGACCAACAAAGATAACCAGACCCTAAAAAGAAATAAAATCGGTCCTCACTCAAACCAAGAAGTCACAAGAATGTTAAGGCTGCAAGCTCCCTAGTCAGTTCTAAATAAAACACTGTCAGGGGAGGCCCTGTCAGGACTCCTTTCACTTCTGAGAGCTTTTTCTGTATCCTTGCTTAACAAAACTCTATCACTTTGCTCACTCTCCTTTGTCCACGAGATTCATTTTTTGACTCCCTGGGACAACCTAGTTCTCCTTCTTCAATGTGTAGCTGTGGTTCATTTTTGGACTGTAGTGTAATATTACCTAGCATTATGTAAATATGCAAGAATATATCTATTGTCCCAGACATTTGTTTTTTTTTTATTTTTTATTGATTTTTTAATTATTGATTTTTTTACATATATCTGAGATAGAGAGAGAGCATGTGCACAAGCAAGAGGAGGGGAAGTGGGAGAGGGAGAGGCAGAATCCCCACTGAGCAGGGAGCCTGATGTGGGGCTTGATCCCAGGCCTTGAGGTCATGAGCTGAGCCAAAGGCAGACAATTAACCGAGCTACTCAGGAGCCCCAGATTTTTCTTTGATGAATAATGTTGCTACAAACATCTTTAGTCATATCCCTTGATGCAAATATGCCAGAGTTTCTCTTGGACATATGCCCAGGAGTAGAAGTGTAGGACATATAAATGTTCAACGTTACAAGATAAAGCCAAACTGTTTTTCTAAAGAAGCTGTGCGAATTTACACTCCTACCACAAAAGTATATAAAATATCCAGTTGATACATATCCTCTTTAACACTTGATATTTTCTTCTGAATTTTGCCAAATGTGTATATGACGAAATCTCAGTGTGGTCTTGATCTGCATCTCCCTAATCACTGTGAAGCTGAACACCTTTATTAGCCATATATCTGTGCTATTTATAAGCTTTGTCATTTGTTCAACTGTGTGGTTCAAGGTAGTTTCACTGGAAGAGAACAGAAAATCTTCTCACTGAGCATTAGCGTGGCATGTGGACTAGGGAAAAAAGACTTTTTCACCCCTATATTCAAATTTATTGACCAGGTGCAAGGAAGTTGCCTGGTGGTGGCATGTATTAAGGAGGGCACGTATTACATGGAGCACTGGGTGTGGTGCATAAACAAAGAATCTTGGAACACTGAAGAAATAAAATTAAATTAAAAAATAAAATTAAAATAAAGGGACATTGAGAGGTGGGAGCAATTTTAATAGTACTGGCAACCTGGATCCAAACTTTCTACAGATATTTTATAAATGTCAAAAACTAATCAATAAATCAGTAAGGTGCAATTTAAAGAAAAAAGGTGCAATATTGAGCAAATTGTGGACACTTAGCTAAACCTAGGGAGCACAAATCCCTACTGAGGAGCAATGATAGAGGAAATCATTTTATCATTTTCTCTCACTACCAACCTTCCAAAGGGGAACAGTAACGATTCCTAGTGAAATGCTTAGGTTCCTACCTCATTAAACCTTCTGGAAAACAGGCAACATATGAGGGGAAATCCTTGTCACCACCTTGACCCACCCTTTCTTATCATGGGACTGTCTACAAGTCAATTTTCATCCTGGTTCCTGACACAGAGCTCCTGAAACCCTTATAAATCCCTAAGTGATAAGAGCACCAGAAGCATCTTTTGTTCTCATCAGGCAATTCTGGGTGGGCTCCTGGAGGGTTTCTGGCTGGGGACTAGTTACCAGAAAAATAAAGCCATGATTAGAAGTTTGAAGTTTTTAATTCCAACCGTCCCATTCACCAGAGAATGGGAAAGGGCTAGAAATGGAGTAAATAATAGATCATGCTTATGTAATGAGGCCTCCATAAAATCCCATGGGCATTCAGAGAGCTTCCAAGTTGGTGAATATACATCTACACACCATGAGAGTAATACACTCCAACTCCATGGGAACAGACACTCCTAT